CCTCCCTCCCTCCCTCCCTCCCTTTTAGTCATAGTCTCTTCCCCACAGCCAAGGGCACAGAGTCTTAATCTTCCACTGAATGTCCGTCCTTCTTTCTTTCCGCATCCAGTCTAGATAGATCTTCCATCTGGTGTTGATTTCCATGGATTTTTCTTCCCATGTTATTCCCTTGTTGATTGTTTCCATGATGTCTGACTGTATAAAATCAAACAAATAGTTGTGCCAGATTTCTATTGTCCATTTACTTTTGTCTTTCCAACCCAGAGCGATAACTGCCTTTCCTGCCAGTATCATAGCCTTAACTAGATTTTGAGTTTTCTTATCCAACAACGGGCTTTAACCTAACAGCATTAGGTTAAAGTCTATAGGTAATGTTACATTGCATGCTTTCCTAATGATTTCAGTAATTTCCCTCCAAAAGGTCTTTACTTCTGCACATTCCCACCACATGTGCGCATACCAGCCTTTAGACTGTTTACAATGCCAGCACAAAGAACTCAGTCCTGGGATCATATTAGCTAGCTGTGCTGGTGTCTTATACCATTTTGTGAGGAATTTGTATTCCAGTTCTTTAAATTTGGTTACTTTAATCTCTTCAATTCCTTTCATAATTTTATCAACCGTCCTCTCTGTTATCTGACCTTGGGGACCTTTACCTTTACCTAATGTGGGCTGAGAGAATCAATAAATGTAGGTGTTGGGCAGCAGCCTGCATTACAGCGTATGTTATGATGGCATACAGCTTTAACTATAAAGTAGACATGATACACAGAAATAAGTATCTTTCACTTTCCGAAAATCAAAAGCAGCCTTAGGTGGAAAGTTCAGAGGAAAAGGTGAAAGAAGTCTTTTAGACCTCCTCTTAGGAGGCTGCTTTTAGTTTTTGTTTAAAGATTGTGGGGAAGGGAGATGTTTGTAACTCATTTCGTATCTAGTCTGGCTTGGTGGGATTACACATCAGGCATTAGAATTCTGTTGTTATAACCCATCACAGTCCTAAATTTGAAAATGATCTGGTGGTAATCAAATTCAATTCCACAAGAGAGTTACTTGAGCTTTCTGGCAATGGGTGATAGTCTTGCTTGTGACTATATTCATCTGTAAAATTGGTGCAACTGAGGGACAGCATCTCATAGGCCAAATAACAAAATATAGTGAAGTGCACAAGAGTTGTGCCACGTGGTCTATGGGACACGTAGGAAGGTGGTGCTCTGCTAATGTGTATGTGCATGCACCACATCCAGTGTCTAAAACATTGAATGGAGTCTACTTTAGGCATTCCCAATCATCCTCAATAGGAAGTTTTGTTTTCTTTGAAAAGCAGAGACACAAATGGGTTTTGAAATACTTCTCATTTTTTATAAGTGGTTTTCTGTGTGGCAGGGAGGGCTGCTGTCCAGCAAAGACAAATTTCAGGGCCTCCTTGCTTATGGAACTGTTTTACTTCCTTAAGAACACAAGAGATGCCAATGTTGGATCAGGCCAATGGCCCATCCAGTCCAACACTCTGTTACACAGTGGCCAAAAATACCAGGTGCCATTAGGAGGTCCAGTAGTGGGGCCAGGACACTAGGCGCCCTCACACTATTGACCCCGCGCAAGCACCAAGAATACCGAGCATCACTTGCCCCGGAGTCCCTATCTATACCTTGTGGCTAATAGCCACCGATGGACCTCTGCTCCTTATCTATATATCTAATCCCCAACATGCCCCCTCTGTGCAGATATCTAAATCAGCACATTGGGGGCACTTGGGGGGCAGGGAGGTTTTCCTGCACATTTGGGGCAATCCCCATATGTGCAGAAAAATCTGAAAATTTGGGGAAAATATGCGGCGGATATTTAAATCCCCCCAAAAGTAAGAGAGCGTTCCCCTCCTTCTGCTTATCTAATTCCCTCTTGAAGCCGTCCATGCTTGTAGCCGCCACCACCTCCTGTGGCAGTGAATTCCATGTGTTAATCACTCTTTGGGTGAAGAAGTACTTCCTTTTATGTGTTCTAACCCGACCGCTCAGCAATTTCATGGAATGCCCACGAGTTCTTGTATTGTGAGAAAGGGAGAAAAGTACCTCTTTCTCTACCTGCTCTATCCCATGCATAATCTTATAAACCTCAATCATGTCACCCCTCAGCCGTCGTTTCTCCAAGCTAAAGAGCCCCAAGCATTTTAACCTTTCTTCATAGCGAAAGTGTTCCAACCCTTTTATCATTCTAGTTGCCCTTTTCTGCACTTTTCCCAAAGCTATAATATCCTTTTTAAGGTGTGGTGACCAGAACTGTAACACAGTATTCCAAATGAGGTCGCACCATTGATTTATATAGGGCATTATGATACTGGCTGATCTGTTTTCAATACCCTTCCTAATAATCCCCAGCATAGCATTGACATTTTTTATTGCAGTCACACACTGTCTCATTTTCAGTGAGTTATCTACTACAACTCCAAGATATCTCTCATAGTCAGTCTCTCCCAGTTCGGACCCCATCAATGTGTATTTATAGTTAGGATTTTTGGCTCCAATGTGCATCACCTTGTACTTGGCCACATTAATACTAAAAATATATGGTAAACAGTAAACCGTGTGAGTTCTTATGCACAAGCTATTAAAGAGCAGGTTTCTATACCTTTTGTATGGATTTTGTTTTTACTATACTGATTACCGAATACATTTTCTGTAAAGTATTATACTTGAATACAGCAAACTAAGGAATGCTCTGTGCTTTGAGGGGGGGTGCCTTGGTAATTCCTGCAGTCTGCATATCACTCCCGATTCTCTTGTGAAGATTACAAGAAACATCTGCAAAAGGAATGAGAAGACACACTTCCTTTTGTTTATTAATATTGATTTTCCCTATCAGAGATTACCAATTATAATATGCCTTTCTGAGACTCTAGATGGATTACAAAATTTGAAAAGCAATTCAATCAGACAGTACTCCAAAGTAATCTGACTAAAATCTGTTTGAAAGTGTGTACCTATGTGTGTTGAGCTGGCCTGATTTGATTAAGGGAGCAGCAATGCAAGAGATTTCCTAGATAGCATGTGGGAAAAGTAGGATAGGATAGCAGAAAGCTCAGTGACTGGTGCTATCTCTCTCCCCCCCCCTCCCTGGCAGATGCTGCTGCATTAAGCGCCATCTGTTAGCCTTGGGGGGGGGTGTTTGATGGTGCACAAGGGGCATCACGTGTCCAACAACCAGGGCCTGATATTGACCAAAGGAACACGGGGTGGGGGGAGGTGCGAAGGAGGTGCTGCTATTGACACGCGAAGGGGCGCGCTGGAAGTGTAACCAGGCGCAGAAGCACCTTCCTCTCTTGCTGCAGACTCCCCCCCCCCTCTGTGAGAGAAGACCCCCCCCCCTCCTGCTTGCTCCATCCCTTCAGCCAACCATCCCTCCTTGCATGTTGCTGCCGCCATGGCCTGGCCCTGCATCACTCGAGTCTGCTGCCTGGCGCGCTTCTGGAACCAGCTGGACAAGTCGGATCTGGCCGTGCCGCTCACCATCCACAATTACTCTGACATAGAGGAGCCGGCAGAGGAGGGCGGGGGCGCCGCACAGCCGTCACGGATCCCAACAGGTGGCGGCCGCGGCCGCCCCCAGGGCCATCCCCGGACGGCCTCTGCCCTGCCTGTGTCGGCGTCCGCCCCCTCGCTGCAGGACAGCCTGGCGGGCGTCAAGAGGCCGTCGAAAAAGGGGAGAGGCGGCGACGGCCGCCGGAAGGAGTCCTTCTCCGCGGCAGAGACCCAGTACCAGCAGGATTTCCGAGCGTGGCCGGTGCAGAAGCGGGACGCCCTGCCGTGGATCGGCGAGTGCAGGAGGGGGGAACTCCTGGGGGCGCCCCCCGCTGCAGCCTCCTCCCACGCCACGATCCGCGGAGGCTCCCACGTGCACGTGCGGCCGACAACTGAGCCAGAGGGAGGCAGAAAGTCCGGCGGCTTTAAGCAGGTGTGGTCCTCTGCCTCGCCGCCAGGCGTCCGCAAGACCACCTCTTACAGGTAGGACCTTAACCGAAGGGCTGTCTCTTCTGGGCGTGCAGGTCTAGCTGAAAGGGGTTTCGGTAGGGCAGTTGGGAGAAGTGTCAGAAATAAGAATAAGGAAAGATGGCGCCTCTGAACATGTGCAGAGTGCATTTGGTGCCGAAGATCACACCAGGCTTTTTCTATGCAGGAAGGACTTCCACTAGAAAAGAAGTGTAAAATTTGCCTGGTTTGCCATAGGTGGAGTCTGCTTGTAGGTGCCAGAAAACTGGAGATGAATGCCGCATCCTTGAACTTGAATGAAATAAAATGTACACATCACAGTATACATTTGGCTTTCCTTTTATTGTTGGTGGGTGGGGGACTTCCCAGTACAGAATGTGCTTCCTATGAAGGAAAATTGTAATGTGAAGTAAGCTAGGTAACAGCATCCTGTGGCCTATGTCTGTGGGACCAGGGGTAAGGCTCTTAACACTATACTAGGCATTGCTCTTTGTGCCTTCCTAGTAGGGCCAGAAGGTTTCCTTATTTATTCCCTCTGCCTCCACTGATCTCCTCCCAGTGCATTTCCTCCAGAATGCAAAACTTAAATATAGTGCCAAAAAATAAATGTCACAGCTGCTGACCTTTGCAAAACACTATTTATTAAAAGGGAATGTTCCAGGAAACTAATTCCCAAAGATTACTTAATGCTCATCCCTTTTGCTAGACCCAGTAAGAAGAGCACAGACCATTAATGCATTTAATATATTGTACTATATATAGAAAGGAATTAGCAAAGCATTTCTTTCTTGCTGTTTTTTCAGATACATTCATTTCCCCACCCCCTTTGAGAGGGATCCCAATACATCGAAGCTCTATATTACTCCAGGTTACTCTAGATGGGCGTGGCCTCCTTTTGAAGTTCTGGGGGTCCTTTGCAAGGCATTCCCCCCTAAGAACAGCCAAGGCATCCTGCAATCTTTCTCCTTTAGCTGAGATTTTGAGCTGAGGATTTAAAGAAGTGTCCTGACTTGACCTTGCCTTTTTTTTTTAAGTGTAGAGTGACTCATTTGGTGCCCTCTTCCTTCCATGACAATATCCTAGATTACTCATCCCTGTGGAAATCTGGCTCTTAAAGAGGAAATCTCATTTTAATTTGTTTTTAATCTTGACTCAGTTTGTTCCAGGGTAGGGCAGCTGTCCTGTACGATGTTGTATCCTATCCAAGAGAAGCAGGGAGGTGTTGGGTACATAAACACAAAGGGCTTCATTGTCAGAGCAATGGTCTGGTCTCCAGTTGGTACTAAGAACAGGAGAAGGATGGGTAGCTGAAGGGCATTTGCCAGACAACAAGGAATGTGTTTAGGGGTGTTATGGTGCCCAGGAAGTAGCCATATGTTGTGATTTAGTTTAGTGATTTAGTACTAAGAGTTGGGTCCAACCATCTTTTTAACACAATCTTGCCCATTTTCCCTGTTTACTACAGCACCTGTCCTGCTTGGCTTTTGTCCATGCAGTTCCTATGATCTTCAGTTCTTTTTTGGCTGTCAAAGGGGATCTCTCTTCCCTTTTTCATCAGATGAAAAGCTGGTTAGATCCAGCTTTATATATCTGAGATGGTACGCATGCCCTTTCTGCATTGCTTGCAGAGTATTGATAGCTACTTTTATCACATACTACACCTACCTTAGACTGTGTGGCACAGAGGCAGATAAAACACATTTGGTATATTTTTGCAGTTTACTGTTTCCAGTGTTGTAAGCATACAATCGCCCCTCTGTTTCAAAGTATCACTGTCCACGGTTTTGTATTGATTTGATCTGCAAACTCATTTTAGGCAAGAGTATCGCCCATGGACTGGAGCAAAACGATCCAGAGCCTCAAAGATGAAGCAAGGGTTCATTATCCCAGAGGATCACTTTGTGAGAGAAACTAGCTACAAGGCAGACTTTAAGGTAAATGTACTTTGCAAAACCTTTGAAATGTAGGAGTTTAATAATGTAGGTAGGATGCAACTCATGGAAACAGCACAGTGAACAGTGCACAGTGAACGATTCTTTAAATGTCAAGAACTGCTAGATTGGACTTTTGGAGCAATAAGGCAGACACCCTGATTCTGCAAGACAGATTATGAATTTATTTTAGCTCACTTTTTTATTTGAAAGGACAATATTATTTTAAAAATACATCTCAAAATAATCACCATAACAATTCAAATATAGAAGTACAACAATTGAAACAGAATCAAACCACCAGAGATCAATCAATATACAGTCAAAACAAAATGCAATGCCTCTTAGCTAAATAGAGCACAGTTCTTAATCCCTTCTCCCAGAGGATCAGTGTTCCCCAGCAAGAAGCCCCTTGGCTTTTGTACTACTTTATTTCGGTTACTTCATTGCAGAAGGGCGGGATCGTCCCTGCAGGGGTGGGGCTTGGAGCCGGGACATCCCCAATGTGATGTCAGCATTGATGTTAGGGACTATCTTCCCGTTCCATTTGTGCCAGCAAAGCACAGGCTGCCGATGGTAATACCATCGGCAGCCTGGTTTGACAGGGGTTGCCCAATTTTTTGGGGGGGAGTTTCTACCTGGCCAGCTGGCTGGTGGGGAAAGCCCCGCCCCCAAGCCCCAAAACCCGCAGTCATCCCTCACCCTTCTCTCTTGATATAGAGGAGGGAGAGGGGCGGCTGCGTGCGCAATTTCCAGATGGACGGGGCCCTCCAGCTGTGGGCACTTAAAGGGATCTCTTTAAGTGCTTGCAGCCAGTGGGATCATCCCTGCAGGGGTGGGGCTTGGAGCCGGGAAATCCCCAATGTGATGTCATCACATTGGGGGCACTCCACCCCCTCCAGGAATGCTCCTCCAAATCCCCTGCTGGGGATGAAGATGGACCTGGCAACCCTATGATACCAGGGCACAGGGTCTTACAGTGTGGCTCCTTGGTCAAAGGCCTGGTGGAAGAGCTCTGTCTTGCAGGCCCTGTGGAACTTTAAAAGGTCCTGCAAGGCCCTAATGTCTTCTGGGAGCTCATTCCACCAGCACGGGGTGGCCACTGAGAAGGCCCTGGCCATTGCCATCTTGGCATCTTTGGGACCCAGGACGGCCAGACGGTTTTGAGACCCTGAACACAGTGCTCTCTGGGGGACATGTGGGGAAAGATATGTAGGCCCCTGACCATAAAGGGCTTTAAAGGTAAGAACCAGTACCTTGAAGTGAATTCAGTATGCTATAGGCAGACAGTGCGGTGTTTTTAGCACAGGCTGGATGTGCTCCTAAACGGGGGGACCCAACAGCAGCCTAGCCACTGCATTCTGCACCAGCTGAAGCTTCTGGATTTGGGACAAGGGCAGCCCCATCTAGAGAGCTTTACAGGTGACCATCGCGTGGATCACTGTTGCCAAGTCATTGCGTTTGAGGAAGGGAACCAACTGCCTAATCAGTCGAAGATGGTAAAAGGCTGACTTGGCAGTGGCTGCTACCTGGGCCTCCATCGTTAGGGAGGCATCCAAGAGCACTCCTGAACTCCTAATCTCTGGCGCTGGCACCAAGGGTGCCCCATCGAAGGTCAGGAGTGGGATCCCTACCCCCGGACTGCCATGACTTAGGCTCAGGACCTCCGTCTTCATTGGATTCAATTTCAGTCGGCTCAGTCTAAGCCAATAGTTGTATGCAACTAGAGCTGAATTGGGGGTACAGTCTGGCACCTTAAAGATTAACTGGTTTTTCCAAGCTCTTGTGCACATCCACTCAAAGACAGTATTTTAAAAAGAAACCAATACAAAATGGCATCATGGGTTATCTGTACAAAATTCCCACGATGATCATAACCAAAATAAAATAAAAAATATAAGCCATAAGAATTAATCCTCGAACTCCTTGCCCTCAGGGCTTAATAAACTTGGCTGGAAGGGCAAATGGGGCTACACATCTTGTAACTCTCATCTTGCTGTCATTTAAAAGATACATAATTTTGGCAAATAGACCAAGAACTAATTTTGTCTAGAACAGGAGACAACCATCAGATTTGAATGTCTGAGTAAAGACAGCAGCGCAGCAAACAGTGCTGTATCTTCAAAATCACAGATATGCTGGCGGCAGTCAAGACTAATCTTTTCTTAATAAACTTCAAGCACCTTTTGTAGGGACGGATTGATATCTGGCAGAAAAAGCCACAAGGTAAATTAATTTGGATAGGCTGATCCCCATTATAGAAGTGATCAAAAGAAGTTCTATAAAGGAGAGGGCTTCTAGACCCCTGCAGAAATTGAAATCTGACCTCTCTCCCTCCTTGACAGTTCTGTGAGTATGCTGGCTGGGGGGGGGGATAAATTAATTTAGAATATATATATTTATAACTGCCTCTACAGCGTTTCTTTCAGACCTTTATTATACAGTGTCTTCTAGAAATGTTGCCTCAGCTGCAACATGTCAATGTGGACAGAGACCACAAGATTCACAGTGTAATCCTAAACAAAGTTACATCCTTGTAAACCCATTGATTTCAGTGGGTCTAGACAGGTGTGACACTTCTTAGAACTGCACTGTCTTTGCACGATGCATCACAGATTGGGACACTTGAACCTGATTGGCTCATGGGATTTCAAAGTGGGTCCATTTGGATTTATTTTTAAATCAACCTGGTAGGTGATTTTCAGAAACAGCCTGATGTCATATTTAAGCCACCATTTTAAATAAGGAAGCTGGAGGGTTTATTTTTAGGGCAGCACTGGAGCTCTTACATAGTTGAATTTAATGGCAAAAATAATTTGTGTTTCTGCTTTCTATCAGTTTAATTCTGACATTCATATATCAGGGTAAATTCCAGCTGTTTTGAGAACACTCAGCCATAATAAGGACATTATGCTGTGCATACAAACAACTGTGGAACTGTCACCATATGTAAAGATCTGGAATGTGGAACATTTGTGGGTAGGCCTCCTGGGGTTTGGAGAATCATGACTTCTAATTTTACCCTACGTAGGAATGTTTACCTCCCCCATTTTCACCACTTGCACGTAGCCCCCAAAAGATCAGGACCAGTTCAAATGTACTGATCTACCGTTGGTTGATGTTGAAAAGACCTTGTCCATTATGACAGTCTACCTGCAGGGGCTAATATTTGAATACTGTTCAGTGTGATTGTCCCTAGCATAGTGATCCATTCATTTTGCACATCAAAGGAGATTACTGATGCTGGTGTGCTAACACTGCACATATTTGGAAACAAGTGCACAGGGAAAGAAGAGTCCTCACACCTGGACTGCAGCATGGGTAAGGGATTTTCAGCAGAGTAGCCATACATGGATTAGGATTTCTTTCAAAGAGACCTCATTTTGACATAGCATATTCTTCCAGACCCATGTTGCTGTTGTGTTTGTGTGTGGGGAAATCCAAGTTCAATTGTCTCTTAGCAATGACGCTCACTAGAAGACCTTGGACAAGACTCTATTTCTAAACCTAACTTGAACGCAAAGGAAAATGTAGCCTTTGACAAGAGACCCTTGGAATGCATTACAGTTCCAGGGATCCCTTTGTGGTCTTAACCTCAAGGGTAACTGGAGCCCACAACATTTTTGTACATAAAAATGGTGCTAATGTGTGATTTTCTTTTTTATGCTCTAGATACCTGAAGTGAAGGCTAAGTTCTCTCCCAACCCTTCTGCAGTTTTCCAGGCTCCATCTCGCATCCTCAATGTATGAATCTGGATCACACATATTTCCTGTTCAGGCAGCTTGAATGTTAAAATTGTAAAAATGTACAGCTATGCAACTTTCATGAGTGGGGTTGAGATAAGAGAAAGTATAATTCGGAGCAGCGACAGTAATTATTAGCATGTATGCATCTGTTATGAACATGTAAATCATAAAAGCACTTGAGTTGGAGACAGCATAATGTACTGTGGAGAATGACCTATTTTCATAGAAATAGGCTCATTACTGGTTAGGCTGGCATCATGCTTAAGGTACTGAATTTGGATAGCAACAGCAACATTTGAGGCAACGTGTATCAGGTTCGTAGCAAAACCAAACCCCCATAGAGCAGGAAGAGATTCTAAATGGCTTTTGAACTTTTACACCTGGGAATCCATCTCAGAAATTCTCTCCTGTTGTTGCAGGAACTCTCAAGGTCAGTAGAATGACCCTTTACCAGTTTGTCACAGAGATTTGTTTGTTCTGAATGGATTTTGAGGACATTTGGGAAAAGTAGAAGCAAAGCTCTGTCTTTCCAAGACTTCTTCAGGCTAGATGCTTTCCAGGTTCCCTTTTTTTATCCTGACATAGCTCATTCCATAAAGTCTTTTGGTAGGGATGTAACTCATGTCAGATTCTTTTTCATATTCCTGACATCCCTAGCCTCTGTAGAGCTCTGCATCGTTACCTGTGGGGTTGGCCAAAACCAAATCCTTTGTGCTTTGAGACTAGGTAAAAATTCCCTTTATCTAAACAATTATTCCCACCCACCCTGCTGGCGCTGCTGAAACACTTCTGCCACACCAGAGTTCCTCCAACAGGAAGGAGCTAGTTGTCAGTTTGGATGTGAAAAATCTAGGCTTCATCCAGAATGAATTATGTTGATCATAATGTTTTAGTAAATTAAAGGACATTACCCCAATTACATTAGTGGAGAGCTGGTGTGGTGTAGGGGTTAAGAGTGTTGGATTAGTATCTGGGAGACCCAGGTTCAAATCCCCACTTGTACCATGGAAGCTTGCTGGGTGACCTTGGGCCAGTCACATGCTCTCAGCCTAACCTACCTCACAAGGTTGTGGGGATAAAATGGATGAGAGAAGAATTATGTAAGCTGCCTTGGGTCCCCATTGGGGAGAAAGGTGGGATATAAATTAAATAAATAAAGTGGAAAATTTAGAAGTGGGGGGGGTGACCATTTATTTTGTATCACTGAGCCCCACCAAGTCTTACATTAAAGCATCCCAATAAAATAAGGATTCTAAATCATACAAATACAACTAAAAGGACAATAGATCCAGGTGGGCAGCCATGCTGGTCTGAAGCAGTAGAACAACTTTTGAGTCCAGTGGCACCTTTAAGACCAACAAAGGCTTATTCAAGGTATGAGCTTTCGTGTGCATGCACACTTCCTCAGCTACATTGAAATGGAAGTTAACAGTTCATATACTGTTGGTGGCAGATGGTGACTGTATGGACTTAGCTTGTTATTGCTGTTTAGTCTTTCAATATGTCAAAACATCTTCATTAAGTTGTATGCTAATTTGCTGTTTACCTATGTAGAGGCATCTGCCTATATATAGGAACTGTTAACTTCCATTTCGAAGTATCTGAGGAAGTGTGCATGCACAGAAAAGCTCATACTGTGAATAAACTTTTGTTGGTCTTAAAGGTGCCACTAGACTCAAAAGTTGTTCTAAAAACACAATATACATTCATTACATTGCAGCAGCAATAAATATTTCCTAACTTAAATGGCTGACATCCAATTGACTGTACGAGGCCTGATATAACACTGAAAAGGCTCCAAAAAGGAATTTAAATTTGCTGACAGTAGGAGAATTTATGTACTTTTTCAAAAATTGCTTTCCGAAACCTTGGGACTACTATTCTGAACACTCAGATCAGTCTTTAATACTGTGTACCTGTGTCTGTGTGGGAAGAGTAATTAAATTTTGAAAAACAGCAATGACAACACAACAGCAGCAACATAAAAGAAACTGCAACATTCCTGACAAAGTACCAACATTTATTGGGAAATGGTAGCACTAACTGGTTTAACTTAGATAATTGTAATGGACCACTCTAAAGCAATGACCAACTTAAGTTGTCACAGTGCAATTTAATGTGAATGTAAATACTGTATATAAAGATGACAGATGGCTTTTTCATTAAAAAGTATACTTATTATTTTATTAACCCTTTGAATATGTAAGGTAGAAAATTTATTGCCTTGAAAATCTTACAGTTATTGCTTGTACATCAGTAATGTTAGTACTAGAGAAGTGAATATCGCATCTTGGAATTATTTTTGTTATGTTATTCTACCAATGATTTTTGTTTAGTGTCTATCAGTGGATTCTTGCCTAGGATCTCTTTTGAGAAAACATTTTTAATGATAGTTTTTCCTCTCATAGATTGTATGTTTTTATCTGGAAGGTTTATAAAATATGAGCTGCCAGTTTATCATTTGTTTTCGTTCATGTTGCCCTGAACTCAAGGGCTCTGGCACACATCTATAGACTCTCTGATGTGTGTATGGATCTTCTGCTCATAGATGAGTTTCGCTGGACTGCAGAACTGGGATGGCTTCGTAGGTGGCAAGAGCTCTGAGTTTTCCTTGGAGTCCCAGAGAGCTTTGGGCTGGAGTTGTCAAATCTGACATTGGTCTATTAGAATGAAGGAAATATTGCTCACAATGGACTGTCAATCTTTCCTTCCTTCTTAAGTGTTGAGATCCTCATTGAACAAGAAATTACTATTGTTCGACATAATTCAGAGACATTTAGGCATACCCAAATCCCATTGATTGATAAGGCTAAAGTATAGCTGCATACATACATTGTATTGTTTTCTGTGCAATTTAGAATATGCCAAACTTGATTGAGTCCATCAGCCAGGATTCCAAGAGCTACTTTAGATATGCTCAAGGGCTCAGACATGCTCGATTTGTTATCCATAAAGAAAAATTCAGGTGGGTAGCCGTGTTGGTCTGAAGCAGCAGAACAAAGTTTGAGTCCAGTGGTACCTTTAAGACCAACAGAGTGTTATTAAAAGTGTAAGCTTTCATGTGCAAAGCACACTACTTCAGACAAATGGAACCCTTGTAACCCTTGAGGAGATTTTGTTCCATTTGTCTGAGGACACAAAAGTTTACACTTTGAATAAAACTTTGTTGGTCTTAAAGATGCCACTAGACTCAAACTTTGTTCTGGATTTGTTATGGGATTGTTTTTTCCATTGAACACCAGACCCACATGCCATTTCACAAACTACTTTGCAAACTTTCCCGTTTTAGAAGCCGTCCAGGCAGCGTGAGATTGGAGGTGGGACTGCTTTTGGAGTGACACGTGTACAAAACTCCCCAAGGACATTGTTCTTTAGAGCCCAGCCACCAAATTTTTTGTAACGGCGTGAACGACCACATTGTTTCTTTCAAGTCTGATAGTGGGAACATTTTCCTGTGGGGTGGAGGAAGAATCATGATTTATTTTTTTTAGGAACTCAGTTAAAATATTCTTATTTGCATGTTGAATGTTTCTGAGTAAAGAAACCTGGTAGTACTGCTTGACTGATCTTTTTCTGATGTCTTTAAACAGTTTTTAACTAGTTCAGTTAATTGCAGTCTTGAATTTTACTGAACAAATTACTGTCATTCTGGCTATTTGGTTCAAGTTGTTAATTTAATATATTTATTTTTAAAAAAGATTAAAGCAACACAACTAAACATAAAGTTTGTATTTTAAGAAGTAAAAAATAATTTAATAAAATGTATTTTGGCTACAGGTTCTTTTCTCAGTCTTTGGTCTAATCGTGGAAACTGTTGGAGTGCTAAAAGTGTGCTTAAGAGATATGTGTTCATATGCAGGGAACCAATAGTTTAATCAAGAGTTCTCAGTGAGAAGGGCTGCAGATCAGTTAATTGATTAACTGAAAGCTGCACATCCACTGATGTGTTGGTAGAGTTCTTATCTCCCCTTCCCTTTTGGGACTGTGATGTCTGGTTTTCAACTTGGCCTGAACCTGCTAGTCAGGGGTCATTACATAGAAAAAGAGCTGCAGGAGCTCATTAGCATAACTCATTAGCATATGCCACACCCCCTGACATCACCGGAAGTGTGCACCAGCCCCTCTGACAGGCAGAAGCACCTGGGATCCATTCTTTCCCCCCTCTCCCTTCCCTTCGCCTCCAAGTCAGGCGAAGGAAAAGGGGAGGGGGAGGATCTCAGGCGCTTCTGCCTGACAGAGGTGCTGGTGAGCCCACAGCCAGCCTGGGTGAATTATAGAATCACTAGAAATAATGCCCGTTGCAGAAATAAATACAACGGAATCTAGAAAGAGGCTCTGGGAGAGTGCTCTGGCTTTGGGCAAACAGTGTCAGTTTCCTGTGGCGACCTCAGCAGGGTTTAATGACAGAGGTCACTGTTTTCTCCAGAGGGACTGATCTCTGCTACCTGAAGAGCATTTGTATGTTTGAGTTTTCTGTAGCCCTCACCTGGAGAGTGGTAACCATTGTTATCCATTCTCCTCTCCCCTATGAGGTATGTTATGCAACTGAAAATCCCAACTGCCTTGCGGGGGGGGGGGTTTGAGGTGTGGAATGCACTGAAGTCCAATCAGCTTCCATATGCAAAAGACCAGGTTGTCGCAGCAGTTGTGGTGTGGGCGGGACCTGGGCTTTGCCTTCTGATTGGTGGCAATATATGCTGAGGAGCAGTGCCATCAGCCATACACTAAGGGAGTGCATTTTAGAATTAGAACTTTGGCACCCACTATTCAATTATATATAAGGAGAGATATGCCTGTTAGCCGCCCTGAGCCTCCGGGGAGGGCGGGATAAAAATGCAAAT